ACAAATTTTAGTGCAGTGCAATTCTTCTACATGTACTGTATAGAAGGAGATTTGCAGGGAGTTAAATTTGGTGTTTTGATAGCCATTCGCCAAAATGAAAATCCGCCATTTTGAGCCATTATACGCATGCTCAATGGCACGTGGCCACAAATTCGCAAAATTAAATTCGCCAATCACCAAAATTTAGCATTTTGCTAAATTTAGCTCCCTCCAAACTTTCCTTCTATACAGTATTTCCGAGCAAAAATAATCTTCTCTAGGTACATGTATATATGTACATGTGCTACATTTTCCTTGTTAAATTATTTCTCTCTCCCTCTCTCCCTCCCTCCAGTGGAAGATCAGGCGGGTCCTAGCTCACAGTATCCATGAGATAGCTCAGATGTTAGGGTCCAATAGAACAGTCTCTGATCTGTTGTCTGTAGTGAATGAGTATGCTACAAAGGACCTTGATGATGTGAAGACTGGAGTACTGGCTCATCTATCGGAGTTCTTTGAGGTACATGTACATATACACTAAAGGCAGATTTACAATATTATGATAGGCTTGACGTTACGTTGATGCTGGAATAGGATTTGGTTCTAATCTATTCCAGTGAAAACATGCATTAAAAAGGTCAAATTGCCCACACTTTTGATTAAAATTGATGGTACGCTGGCCTAACGTCATATTGTACATCCACATGTACATGTTCATGCACTGCATCTTTAGACACTAAAATGTAGTTGTGAATGTGTATGTAAATGAGAGATGGGAGTACATGTACATGTACATGTATCTCTCTGTAATAAATATGTATTTTGCATGGACATGAATACAATTCCTTTGCTTGCTCATAAATAATACACTATGGCTTGCTTAGGCTCGCCCCTTTAATGTTCTACATTCGTCTAGTAAATATTATATATTTTTTATTATTGTACATGTACATGTAGATGTTACCCTCTGATGTTAGAAAGGAGAACTTCCCCTCTATATTAAATGGGATCCTGGACACTGAGAATGAGAAGAACTGGAGATACAGGGACTCACTGGCAGAGTAAGTGTACTTGTACATGTACCCTCTTCTTTATACTGTGGCTCTTATTTTGGAATTGTATTTTGTGGCTTTCACAGATCAGACCATGTGCCATATTTTGTATAAATAAAGTAATTTGTTTTTTATCTTTTACATGTATATTGTGGGTCTTATTTTGAGGGGATTGTGTTTCTTGTACTTCGCGAAAATTAAATCTAAAAATACTAAAGTGTATGTACGTCAATCGTCAATAGTTGTATGCATTGTTATGTTTTAGTTCATAGTTTAACGACAGGCAGACATGAAGAGCACATGTACCTAGTACTTTTCTACGCAGTGTGGGCGAATTCAGCAACTTCTCTTTAAAATTAAAACATTGGATATTCTAATAAAGTATATGTATTTTATATACAGTACCTTCTAGCCATTATAATACTAAATTACTAAAAATAGTACCAAAAGTAACTTATTCTTGATAGTACCATTGTTCAATTATACATTATACTTCTCCTCTTATACTCATTATCACTGGGCAATCAGTGACACTGTTAAACAGATACCCTATAGCTTGAAATTTTTGTGGAATGTAAATTTCGTGGTTTTCGTGGTTATGGGGCTGCCCACAAAATTTAAACCCATGAAATCATTGAAGTGCCATCCCCTTACAGGCTATGTAAACTGTCAACCATGAAAATTAAACCACGAATTGCCCCACTAGGAGCAAACCACGAAAATATCGACCCACGAAAATATCAAGCTATACTGTACCGCACTAGCAAATTGACAGTTTGGAATTTTGAGCAGCAAAAAATATTAAAATTGCTATAAAACTACACAGTACACATATAACAAGAGTACACAATGTATAATTGATATACTAAGCATCTATTACTTCAACGTACGTCTCATCTTCAGAGTCCTCTTTTACTGAGTCTAAAGTTAGTGTAGAAGGATAAGTTCTCATACTACTAATACCTGATGCTGTATGATATCCACTGGATACTGTTCTGTGAGACTCAAATGAATATACACTAGCAGCATCTTCCTCTAATTTCACATTGCCTTTCTTATACATGTAGCTATGAATCAATGCATATATGTCAGAGTCCTTTGAAAGTGATATTGCAGTGTATCCTTCATTAGATTTAATAGTAGGGTCAGCTTTCCATTCTAATAGTAGCTTAGCTACTTTATAATGTCCTTCAGCACTGGCAGCCATCAAAGCAGTATGACCCTTTCTGTTGTGACCATTAGGATCAACATGTTCCTTTAGCAACAGTTCAACTATTTGAGTGTGACCATTTTTACAAGCCAACATAAAAGCATTCCAACCATTTTTATTTTGAACATTAGGATCAACTTGTTCCTTCAGCAACAGCTCAACTATTTGAATGTGACCATTTAGACAAGCCATCATGAAAGTATTCCAACCATCTTCTTGTTGATATTTAAAATCAACTCCTTTACTAATCAATAGCTCAACAGCTTCATACTAGCAATCATTACAGCATTTGATCCATTTGATTTCTTGAGGTGAGGATTAGCATTAGCTTGTAGTAACATGTGAATGATTGAAATGTGATTATGTTCACTTGCTATCATTAGTGCAGTCCATCCTTTATTGTCCTGAATGTTAACATTAGCTCCAGCAGACAGTAAACTGTGTACAATGTCCTCATGTCCTCTTTCACAAGCTAACATTAGTGCTGTCTTGCCTTCTTCATTAGTATGATCAATATTAACAGTTTCTAGTTGAAGAAGAAACTCTACTGCTTCATTATTACCAGCTGTGACTGCCTCAAGGAGAGCTAGTTCAAAGGTGAAGTTCATATTCTCATCTTCTTGAAGGACAAAATGACCATTAATGTATAAACTGAATATACCAATGAGACGCATAAACTGTAACTTTCCTCCAGTACATTCTATTAGACTATCAGCTGTAATGTCAAGAATATGTAGCTTGATGACAACACATTTACTTCTTATTGTAATATGTTCAATAATTGACTGCTTGTATTCTAGCTGTCTGTATTTTTGAGGCAGTAACTTTGCAATAAGTTTGTATAATCTTTGTATACTTATGTAATTCCAACGAGTCTGAAGGTGTATTTCAATATAAGGTAGATTATCCATGTTTCTATTGAAAGGCTCATAGCGTTCCTCCAGTAACTTTTGGAGTGTAGAAACTGTTTCTGATGTGCACAGGCTCTTACTCATA